GTATATATATATACATACATACATACATAAAGATTAAGAAGTATATGACTTGCAATCACAGAAAAAAGTCATTACTCCTATATCTATATGAAATTAGGCCCCTACAAGAGGAAGAAAAAACAATGCTTACAGGATCTGTGAAGAGGATAGACACATGAGGAAAATGTCTCCATGAGCCCAAGTTAAAGGCTTGCATATGAGCCCAAACCGCTTACTTTTTATTCCACAACGCGATGCCAACACAGCTGCACGCATAAGAATGTAAATTGCCAAGCTTGTATGCTGTGTGTTACCAGTAAGAAGCATTGATGGCCCCGCGATTGCACCAGCTAGCAATGCTCTCCACTTAGCTGACCTGAATTTCAATTAAGTTTCTGCTTCATTTACTGTTACGTTAATCCTCTCCCCAACTCTCATAACAAATGCAAAATTTTCTGATTTTAACAAATTCAAGAATAAGTATTTGTGTGTATATAAATAAAACGAACTGAAAACTTTTGAATGTAACACACACACACATATATAGTGTGGTACCTTCGATGACCGCCCCAAGCAGATACAATTTCATCAACGGATACAAAAGTACCAGCGAAAGTGCCAAGGAATAGACCATATCTTAATGTTTCCTTTAGTGCCAAAATTATATCGTCACTGCTCGACACCATTTGCGCTTTCCTAAACATGAAAAACAAACTCAAATGAGATAAGCATAGCTGTGAAATTGAGATCTAAAAAGCTTTGATGATTCAAAAGAAAAGAACTTTTACTTCGCAGAGGACAACGATTTTCTACGTCGTAGCCGAGAGAGAACAGCGAAGATAGCGAGGCCACCTTTGAGGCCAGCGCCAATGGTAAAGCCTTTAATAGAGGCACTATAGATTCTCCAAAGTTTATCGTAGTCCTGAACCGGATAGGATTCAAGGCTAAGCAACGAGCAAGATGACGAAGAGGAAGGCAGAGTCGATCGCCGGCAATGCTGGCAGCTTTGATTTTGGTTTTGGTTTTCATCTTCGATGGAAGAGCACGTGCAGCGGCCGCCGGCAGCGGCTTCAGCTCCGGTGCCGGACGGCGGCATAGCGGCGGTGAAAGCGTTTTCGGGGGAAAAACTGTGTGATTATCGAAGGGCAAGTGAAAATGTTACACGTATGATTGCAGATGAAGATTTTAGAAATATTTTATTATATATTTTTTGGATTGAGTTTTTTTTCCCCCATTTATATTGTCGTTTTAAAATACAACACTAGTTTAGTACTGGTGGAAGATTTCAGGAATAGAGGCAGAATTTTGCCATTTTAAAAAGCGGAGTTTATAAATGATTTCTGGTTATGGGTCTTCTGTGTCTCGGTGTAAAAGTTCATGTTTAAACGTTGACCTGCTTCAAGGGCTGAAATTGCAAAATTCTGTATCCTTTTTTCTTCTCACAAAATTCTCTCCTTTATCCACCGAAAATTATTACAGTAGTAATAACTTAACGATGGATTTAAGATTTTTTACTTTTACCGTTGACTTTTTCTCTGTCCCCTTAAAAACGTGAGAATGATATTATTTCCCAAAGAACTTCACTTTACTTACGTTTATAGACCGCTCGCAAATTAACTGCCAAATTGTTTCTCACAAAAGGAGCTTATCATTTGCTTAGAAACATGGAAGTAAAGGAAGAGAGATTGCACATTCTTCCTGGTATATAAACAGAAAAAATTTGAAAGGGCACCGTGAGTTAGATACGTTCACTTAAAGGTGTATCTTGACCTTTTTACAAGCTTGGACGAGTTTGACAAGAGATGCACTCATTTAATTGTTAAAATGGGCGTATATCCATCCAACTGTTGTTCGATTTGAGTTACATTATAAGCGTAAATCAATCACCGCCGAGTTATTAATACTATAATTTACTCTCTTTATCGTTGCTCTCCTCACCCTTTTCATTTCCCCAAAAAGGTAATCATTAATCAGCTATCTTTTCAGCCTGTTGAAGAGAATACCAGCATTTTTGTTTGATAAACTCTTTTTTCCTGTTGGGACAGAGGAGGATTTTTGACAACATGGAGAATTATAGTGAAAGAATTTCATTAATTTGAATATAGACCATAACATGTAAATGAGATGATTGTGGTTAAAGGGGTTTGGGCTTAAATAGTGGTACAGACTACAGATAAAGATGATCTTACTGAGTAAAATATAGCGTCGAGTCTGTGAGCCTGAATCTAAGCTAAACATTTCATTAAGTGTTAAAGAGAAATTTTAGCTTCAATGTCCAACAAACTAAACCCTACCTCTTTAATATCATGTGATGAATAACATTCTAATACAATGCTTCTGTACCTCGTTAATTAGCAACAGATGTTCGTCATTCCACTTTGAGAACAATCTTCATGAACTCGTAGACAAAGTAGCTTATGGATGCTGAAGGTAACACCTGAAGATTCAGAACATGATAGTGAGAATGGGAAGTCTTAATAGTAACGAGATTTGAAAAGAAGAAAATGAACTCAATCCCTCAAAGCTATGGTTGAATTTGGAATATTATAATCATAGAATATGCAAATCAATTGAACTGAAATATGATAATTTCTCTAGATCTGGATGTACTGTTTCTGCTATTTAAAGAAAAAGTCAGCCATAGGGGCAATCCAATAAAACGAAGGAGAGGGTGAAAAGGAAGATAAAAGGCAGAAAATAGAGAGGCCACAACTCAGAATCTTGTTCTCTTAGGGCTCGTTTGGTACGAAGGATAAGGGATAATTAATCCCGGGATTAAATTTGAGATGAGTTTATCCCACACTTGGTTGGAATAACATCGTGGTATAACTAATCCGGGATTACTTATCCCAGGATTGTAGTGTTTTTTTTATCCCCATGGAAGGGTGGGATAACTAATCCCGGGATAATTAATCATGGGATAACTTGCTTCCCAACCAAACGATCCCTTAGTTCCCCCGCTCTTGCTATCCATTTTCCTAGATAGTTTTACATCAGTGCAAGGAGAGGAGGTTTTAACCATAAAGACAGTAAAATAGAGCTGATAATACTTGTTCTAGCTAACCGACTATCTTAACCTAATGAACAATTGCTACTTCCATATGCGTATTGAGGAGCACAACGATGGGAAGAAGAGTGGTATTCAGTTTCTGAGATTAAAATGACTCATTTACTGATGACAAAAGTATTTTAAAAATAATGCATGGCCACAACGGTACTGGTACCTGTAGTAAACTAGGGATTAACCCTGCATATAGAGCTGGAACACCCCCATGTTCAATAATCTTTGCACAAGTTGCCAAGGCACTCAGTTTAGATGCTCGGCCTTGTAACTGAAGTTGCCTTCTAATGACCTCAAATGGGTAGGTTGCAGCTTCAGCACACGCACCAGCGATAGCACCATGGAGCAAGGTCCTCATAGGTCCCAACTCAAGCTGGTCCAAAGCATTGAGCTCTGTTCCCTGTTGCTTCATATACTGAGTTCTTTTTCTTCCTTCAGGTGAATGCAAATAAGCTGATTTTAATATGTCGTATACACTATAGAAGACAGCTGCAGCTGGGGCCATACTCAAGATGGAGGGTCCAAGGCCCTTATAAAGAGAGAAGAATCCTTCAGTTCTGATCAGGTGTTGGAAAGCTCCACCTACACCGCCCAAGGCTTCTCCACCCCGTGCCACTAACTTGGTCCGGATCTGAAAGGCTTTAAATTATCAGGCAACAGTGGAAATAACAAAGAAGAAGCCAGAGGGAAATCAAACTTCCCCAATCATTAGGAGGATAATCAATCTAATAAGGAAATCAGTTGGTGTGAACACGTTATGCATTTCTATTTATAAAAAAAAAAATGTTACACATTCCTAAAGGAAGAATGAAATGCAAACTATTTCAGCATAGTTGCTTCCATTTTCAAATCAGAGAAATAAAAACTAGTAATAACACCAGGCCTTTGATGCTAATAAATGACAGAACATCATTCCATGCACAATTCAAACATGCATTATCTTTTATTATAAGCATGTATCAGAGAAATAAAAACTAGTAATAACACCAGGTCTTTGATGCTAATAAATGACAGAACATCATTCCATACACAATTCAAACATGCATTATCTTTTATTATAAGCATGTATCAGACCTGAAAGATAAGGGAGAAATTAGTTTGGCCCGTATTAACAATAACAGACAATGTCCAGTACCCATTTTGTTTTGCTGGTTCACTGATGGAGCGAAGATTTGTTCTATCTTTTCATCCCTTTCTTTGTTTTTCTCTCAGACAAAGCTGATGTACATTTCTCTTCTTTTTCTTGATCAGTAGCTATTATACTAAATTTTTATACAGGGAAATTCGCTCTTTTGCCCCTGCCTATATGCCAACTTCAGTTGGGGCCCTTCTATTATTTGATTTAGGAAAAAACATTAAGGCCTCAACAGTATTTACTAATCCTAAATGAAAGTTAAAATTCTATAGTTCTTAGTTTTATTTTGTTTTTTATTTCAATAGTTTTTCCTATCTTTCGGTATCTTATTTATATCAATTAGGGGTGTTCTTCGGTCGGTACGGTATGGTATTTAGACATTTTGATTCGGTATTTTTGGTATTCGGTTTCTTAAAATACTATACCAATATCGGACTAGATTCGGTATGGTTCGGCTTTTCTCCTTTCGTATTCCGTTTATTCGTTCCGGTAACTTCTGTTGTTCGGCTTGAATATTAACTAATACATAGAAGAGAGCAATAGAGTGTAATATTCTCATTAATTAAAGTACTCACAAATACAAAAATAAAAACGTGCCAAGCTCACTGTTGACAAAATCATTGTCCAAAACCAGCAAGTATCAAAATACACAGAGAAAAAAGGTACATAACGAATAAATTTGATCATTGAAAATATTTTGTTACTTGCTTAGAGTTAATTGTTGAACTTAGAGAATACAACAAGGACCACCAACCTCAACATGTAACTTAGTAGGTTACAATCAATAATACGTGTATTGTGTAACTTAGTATATATTTCGGTAAATACCGAAATACCAAACCTAATACCAAACTTTTTAAAAACTTAAACCACATAACTAAATACCAAATACCAAAATTTTCGGTTTCGGTATGGTAATTCGGTATTTACCATATTATGCACAGTCCTAATATCAATAACAATAAAATAGCAAAAACAAAAAGGAATGTGCTTAAGGGTCTTCTAGTCATGATTCCCTGTGATGTGCTTAATAGTGTTTATTCTGCTCGGGAGTTAGTTTGCTCGAGGATGATGGAAGCTTTAAACTTTGGGAAGTTGACAAGAGTCTATTTATCAATAGCAATTATTTCTTCCTTAACCACCCTCTTGGTCCACAGCCCAAGGCTTCTCACAAGCACTGCCCCACCTTCCCAGTCCTTTCTGCCACTAATTGGCATTGCTTTCCCCTTGTCACACCCGCTATCTCCTTCCACAACTCACCAAGAAATGCTTAGAAAACAATAAAGGTTTAGAGGCAAAACTGCTTGATAAGTTAGAACTCATCAGCAGATGAATCAGAAAGAGTAACTACCGAATTTTAACGTGTTTCCCTTAAGCAACTGTGAAATATACAAGAAATAGGATAGTTGGATGAAAAATGGGATGGGCGCAGAATTATTGCACTTGAAGATAATGTACCCAAAATATCAATTTGCTTTCCTTCAATTCCAGAACTAATTGTTTCAATAAAGAATCTTTTGTTTATTGGTTACTGAATTTCCTATGCAAAATCAAAGTCCCTAGCAAAAAGATGTCTCCTTTCTACTGGCAGAAATCTATAATGAATGAATGATGCAGATCGAACTGACAAGCAGCTAATGTGTTGCAGAACTTAAACCATAAGATTATACGGACAAATACCTCCTTTTTCAACTCCACATGATAATTTTAGGCCTCTTTTTGGATATAATTTTGTATTTGCGGCCTGCCCTTTTGGATTGCTAGAGGCTGAGAGTCAGAAATTGTATATAAGGAATGGAAACTATACGCAACATAAAAGAAGGTTTATGGAGACGAGAAAAGAAATTTCTTATTTTCCTTTTCTCTTGCTATTTTTGGATTAACAATGTTAAAGAAAGAAACAATTATATAAAAAATGGAACTAGAAAAAAAAAGGTTTTTAAAGTTGACAATTCTGCCGACTGCTAGACGATCAAAATGCTAAAATTGATGCACTGACAGTTTTATGTGCTTATACGCAAAATAGATGGGCCTAATTGAAGATTATAAATATCAAAGGGACAAAAATGCATTTTCCATATCTCATAACTTACGGTGTCCAGTGGTAAGCACATCACAGTAGCAGTCACTCCAGCTGCGGCACCA